TCAAGTGAAATTTGCCCATGTCGTTGGTAGATGGCGTCAACGTGTCGAAATTTCGACATTGGCCTACAGCGATGAAATTTAAAACTTGTTTTAACCAACACTTCAAAAGAAATACACTAACATTTTTTATTAAGTCGACATCCATTTATCACGATTGGAATTTTTAAATTTAAAACAAATGCCTCATGTTTTACAACTATAAACACGTGCTCAACGCGAAAATATTTATGAGGGTGTTTTCAATCGCGCCGAGCACGTGTTTATAGTTGTAAAACATGAGGCATTTGTTTTAAATTTAAAAATTCCAATCGTGATAAATGGATGTCGACTTAATAAAAAATGTTAGTGTATTTCTTTTGAAGTGTTGGTTAAAACAAGTTTTAAATTTCATCGCTGTAGGCCAATGTCGAAATTTCGACACGTTGACGCCATCTACCAACGACATGGGCAAATTTCACTTGAAACGTTTTATTTTGGTTTAGGAGAAGCTGGATATCAATTTTTACTGCTCTGCGACATGATGAATTTCGTTAGTTTTGGACAATTTCGCCATGATGGTTCCCAATGTTCCCTTGGTGATATCTTGGAAAGGGGCGGATGCGATCGCTCCGTTTAAACTGGAGTTCATAGCCATTGATGGTCTCAACAACTGGACATATTTTCGAATTTCTTCATTTGCCCCATTCTGAGCACCACACCCCCAAAGTAGTGGATTTTTGCCTTTCGCCGAGGTTTCCGAGCTATAATCTCGAGACCCTGTGGACGGATTTCGATGAAAATTTTACTGTATGTATAGAATCGCATGGGCAACAGTTTCCGGTATGGCACTTGGACCTATAACCAATATGAAAAAGCCACACCCAAAGTGGGTGTGGCTCCTAAATTTTTTTATTATCGTGTTCTGAGGCCATAAGGGCTCGGTATATGCAAAAATATCATTAAGAAAACCCTTACGGACTTTTGGGGAAAATTAGCAGTCCATTTCGCTTAGTGTAACATGACCAGAAATATTTCTGGATGTGGTTAGATTTCTGTTTATTTCTGTTGTTTGTTTACATTTATGACGGCTCGTTCTACATCTTTTACTTACGCCTTCATGACCTCCATCGTGGTCATGTTAGATTATTTGGAACACTATGAAAAGTAAGATTTCCAATATAAGTATCTGAAAATATTGTTCATAATTTAGCAAATTTTGTAACCACTAAGAAAATTTCGGCAATTAATGTGTTGGTAATATTGTAAAATCAGTAAGTTCTTGAAACTTCCAAACTTTTGCAAAATTTTGGAAATAGAGTATGTCTAAGGAAAACTAGGTTTAAAATTTTTGTAAAAATACTCTGATCAATTGCGTCAGTTCAATCTCTTACAGTTTGTAAAATTACTTATTGTCCCAAACTTGCAGATTTTACAAACTACACATGAATGGGTGAATTGGCTCTAAATAGAAATTCGAGAAATTTTGGAACAAAATTCATGTAAAGTATTATTTATTGCTGAATGGACAGGTTGGTACGGGAATCTCGAGTGGAATCTAACGTCGGAAACGATCCCCTGGTTCATCATCATATGCTTGAAGACCGTGTTACCCAAGCTCTCCATACTTATTGATGCATCCGCCTTATCGAAAAAATACTGAACCACTCCATGAAAGGCCAACTCGTTCCCGCCATGATCGGCGTCGTCCCACAAATTCAAGTCTTCACACAATTTGTGTGTATCAAGCTATATTCAAAAATCCAGCTGCCAGGATTCATAATTTTCCCCTTGCTTCTCATCGATTCCGCCATAAATAACTTGGTCATTGAAACCATGGCGGCGAAAGTGAATACGAACTCGGTCAAGTTGCTGTCTGTATTAAATTGTCAGCTAAAAAGTCTTCCGAGAAGGTCGAAATGTCGGAAGGAATTGAAATCGTGCACCGCCAAGAGGATTCAATTTGGTCAAAATTTCGTCGATAAAGGAACTCCTTTAGTCATTGAGAATTTCTGTATTATACTTGAAGTGAGTTAGTTATGTGCTGTGCGAATGGAGCTAAACTCACGAGAAACCCTAGTCTCAGCACAAGGTACTTCAGGAGGCCGTAGGTTTAAGCTCCACCCGCACAGTACATAACTCGTTCACTTTATGTATAATCAAACCGTGTCTCTGCTTTTGTTAAATAGTCGGAATCAGCGAGGAAAGTAGATTATCAACTTTCCCACTGGAGGTTGCACCGTGCTACCGTGCAACCTCCAGTGGTGCAACTTGCACCAATTTCTGCGTGTGCGCATTAAAAAAATGATGGATAAATAAATAAATCATTCATTTATTATTCATTTTAACTCTTATTGAATATTAAATATTGAATGAATAAATATTTCTTGAACGGCTAAATACGATTGTAACTAGTTAATATGATTATTATGAGTACAAATCTTGCAATTTAAAGTCCAAGATATAGTTGTTTATTAACAGAGATGTAGGTAGGTATGCAGATGCAGATGCTTATTTACAAACGCCATTCGACAGATGTATGGATGTACATATTACATTTGCTGTTTAATGTATACTTTTATTCGTCCTGATTCGACTCTGGAATTTTACATGGGTATGTATATTCGCAGAGAATGAATGATTAAATATCACTTTAAATCATTGTTGAGAAAAAGTTAAATAAACATTTAACTGTGACTGCCACCACTTGTTTTGGCGACCAGTTATTTGTCGACCAATAAGGTTTCGACGACTCGTTTGTCGACCATCAATTACCAATCCCATTGTGTCATAGGGTGGCGTAGGGTGGATATATGGGTTAATCTCAGAGTTGGGAAATAATCAGGATTACCCAATATTAAAGATAGAGAGATTATGGATTGACCATTTAAACACATTGATTAATCCGAATTATTTCCCAACTTTGGTTAACCTCTCTCGGGTTAATTAATTCCACTACATATGAGGGATGGCTATTAATGGGCCCTAAGATTATCTTAAATCATCCTGTAAAAATATCTAAATTTTGCTTATCTTAAGTCGCCCTGAGTTTAGGAAAAAGTAGCCTTTCTGATATCTTAACGAGCCATGATTGAATTTACTGTTGTTTCGATATTGAATCGTGCCATCAATGGGAAAAGTATCATAAATGAATGATAGTCTGAGTTAAACTTTTTAATTTCATACACTTCCTTCGAAAACGTTGGGAATCTAAATTTTAATCGATCAGACTCAAGTAAATCTGACTATAAACAAATCTCCTCTGTAAAAACGAAAAAGGACCCCAAAAGAATGGCAAGAAGTTCAAGTGTTTGATACATTAAAATTAATTTGAGAAAGTTGGGTACAAATATTTTGCTGACATATGTATCCGACGTATTTCTGAGAATTTCTTTTATAAACTTATGTATAGTTGCTCTAAATAAATATCTACATATAAATTTCTGTTATCTGTCACAAACAATAGGCGACAACCTCACGGGTATTTTGCACAAAAGTGGACTTGACCCACCCAAAAGAATATAAGGAATATAATTTTTTATCGAAGGCGAAAAAGGGACCTCGTGACGTTTCTCTTCAACAATTTTCAGTTATGCAGTGACAATGAGCTAATTCCTGATGATTTGGAGCAGTTTCAGATCGTTGCTTAGGGGTGATCCATGAATTATGTCACGCTGAAGATGGAGGGGAGGTGACACGCAAACCTTGACCCTCTCTCTAGAGTTACGCCCTCTCATTCACTGGACGTGACCTCTCTCGTTCCCCAAGGATTCACCAACCAACCTTCCCCTGATGATGATGACCGTGATGATGGTGATGACCGTGATGATAATGATGCCGATATTTAGCAGGGAGTGGTTTTACCAATAAATCCGGAGGATGAGAGCCAAGTGTGTTCGTCCAGGAAAGTTTATTCACATACTGACTCGAATATACCAACTTTTTGAGCTTAATGTCATGACACTGACATTAAGTGACATTAAGTGGCATTAAGTATGGGTCACCCCCTAGGGTCCCTCAAGATGAAAATTTTTCCAACTTGAACTCATTTTTATCTATTAGGAGCCGTTACTTTTACAGTAATAAATTACCGATTTTTTTACAGGGCTGTATTAAGACGTTTTGGCATTTAAAAATTTTAAACTCAGGGCAAATTAAGATAAGCTAAATTAAGACATTTTTACCGGACGATTTAAGATAATCTCAGGGCCCATTAAATTTTACCCTTTTCAAATTTTGTTCAAAACTTTCACTTGGTGCCCAGAGCTGAAAATCAGTACTTGCGCTAGCGTTCATACGACACCGTTAATAAAAACCTTATCTTTGTATTCTAGCGTTTACTGAATTGTCGGTGGTCAGAACGCGATATGAAACGTCATAAAATTGGGGGAAATTGTGCGGTACTTATGATCAAAATGATACAAAGGTGTATTTACATAGTAACAAAAGTATAAAAGTATGGATGCGCATAATCATGAAATCTTTGAATGTTAAATATGCCAGATACACAAATACATAAATTTGTTTGCTAGGTTGCCATACATTATCCTCCGCCAAAATACCTCTCTAAAAATTCAATTCGAATTCTAAATTATTTAAGTAAACTGTACAAAACCCAGAGTAACGTTAAACTGATAAAGAGCATAGTTTATTCTGGATTATGTATAGTTTCCTTGACATAAAATCCAAGTGCATTTAATTTTCAGAGGGTAACATTATTTTTAAGAATGTACATACAAATTTACGAGCAGTCCATTCAATGCTATTAATATTTATGTATGCATTCCAGTGTCCCTTCCTTTCTTATTTTGTTTTCTTTAAATTTAATCAGCTTTAAAATACTTACATACGCATCAGGTCTAGTTTGTCATATGTACGCTGATCGAACTATGTATGCACATTATGACACGAAATGAGCATGCAAACAGTACAGCTTTCATTTGTGAAAAGGTAATTTTTTCCCATCAATGTACAGACTAATCCTGAGACAAACTGGTGCATTTACTTTTAGAAAGGTCAGTCTATGTATAATCTGTTCTTACGACAGTCCAAAAAGTTTTGTTTAACAAATTGTGTCCAAACATTCTAGAAGTCCAAAAATTTAAATCTTTAAAATCTAGATAAAAAGATACAAATATACTCTAATTTGGAAAAAATTGGTTTCCGACGTTTCGACTTATCGTGACAAAAGGTATGCAATTATTAAGAGAAGCCTCCTGCTTTCAGTTCTGAGTAGCTTTTAAGTGTTTAATGACACTGAAATGTACAAATTAACTAATGCATTCAAAATAAATTCACAGGGCTTTTGTTTATACGTATAAGATTTTATCTCCATCCACAAAAAATCCCTGGTTTTCGTAATTCATCATTATCAACTATTGGTCGGTAAGAATTTTTACGAAAATCATTATTTTTTTATGGTAATATAATTTTATTTAGTTCACATGATTTTAACCTGACTTGATCTAAAAGTTATGTAAACTTTATTTGTCCCCTAGTAAACATGGCCCACTCAAAATTATACGGCGGATCAGTGGATAAGGTAAGTATATATTTTTTATTTAATGAATCGATATGAAATCACTTTTTATTTAATTTTCGTACAGGTTTTTACCAGTTAGTTAAACGAGAGGAGCACTCGTTCGTTTGGAATGTGGACGCCGCTGGTTTGAGAAACAGGCCGGATTGCCAAACTTTTTCGTATACGGCTGATCATGCTTTCGACACCGAGTGGGAATTTTCTTTCATCCCCGGTGAAAATGTAGTAGATCTTGAATTGGGGGTTAAACTCCTAAAGTATTGTCGACGCGACCCACTGTTCGCGAAAGTATATATTTCGGTTGTTGAGAGAGAAGAAGGGATGTGGGAATCTGGTAAAGGAATCTTTTTTATACATTCGTTCCTTTAAAGAAATGTTGGAAGAGGGCTTTCTAATTATTTAGCTACTATTATTAACTGTTAATTACTTTAATTACTACCATCGTAACTAATTTTAATTATTAATTCATTAGAAAATCAATAAAAATCGCCAATTAATTGGAAAATTTTATACTAACTATCTAATTAATTTGCTTAAATAGCATGTTCAGCGGAATTACAAATTACCAATTAATTAGAAAGCTTTGGATGTGAATTACATTCGAGTTTATTTTGCAGCTATGGAAACAGGCCCATTCGCCGAATCTGAATTGGGGGAATATTCAGAATGTCGATTTTCACTGATCACCCCAATTCGTCCGCAGCCCCAGCAAGCTTTTGGCCATATACTTGGAAAGTCGTCCCAAGAGGTGTTCACCTTCCGCATCACTTTCACACTGGGCGATTCCATGAAAAAGTACTCCGACCTTCCCAAACATACGATGCTCGCGTTACTGGAAAATCGCGATGACAATGCCGATGTCACCATTACGACGAGCGATGGGCAAGTGATTACGGCGCACCGAAACATCTTATCGGCTCACAGTGAAGTGTTCAAAGCCATGTTCGCCACGGAAATGGAGGAAAAGAATCAAGGCGTTGTCAAGTTAAAGGAATTTAGCGGAGAGGGATTCAAGATTGTCCTGAAGTTTCTCTACACCGGCCAATTGGACGAATCGTGGGGAGAGCATTGCGGCGCCGTGCTCGGGGCAGCGGATAAGGTGAGACAGACAATGACACTTTTTTTACAAATTGTGCAAAAAATATCTTGCTCACAAGAGAGAGAACTTACAATGGAGGTCTCCCAACGTATGCTCACGGATTTGGAGCAAACTAGCGTCAATCGATCACAAATATAATTAGAATGAAATTTGCAAATGGAACTATCTGCCAATGCGCAGGTTTGGCGGAGATATTTGCATCCAAAGCGGGAAAAATGCGCAGCAAATTTGGAAATTGAAAAATTTGCTGGCCTTGGTGGTGCATTTTCTCTTTTATGCAAATATCTCCACTAAACCAGCGCATTGGCAGATAGTGTCATTTGCAAATTTCCTACTAATTATATTTGTGATCGATTGACGCTAGTTTGGTCCAAATCTGTGTGCGTACGTTGGGAGACCCCCATTGTTAGTGTCAATTGATCACAAATTTAATTAGTATGTAATTCACAAAAGAAAATCTTGGATGCAAATATCTCCGCCAAACGTCTTGGGAGATCGTATCTTTCGCAAGTGTCATACAAATTGAAGTTGCGATCGATGGACACTAATAAATTCAAAATCGGGGAGCATACATACGCTCGGAGATCTCCATTGTGAGGGTAGCATAAATTGATTACGAATTTAATTTAAAATTTACTAATCATCTTGGCAGTTCCTAATCGCCCCTCTACACGACTTGTGTGATCTTGTCCTACCAACGCTAGTAACAGAGGAAAATTACGCCGAACTGCATAAAGTCGCCGAATTGCATCGTTTGCATCGGGCGGCGGAAAAGATTAAAGCATTTAATAAAAGGTGGGTACGGCCACAAAGTGTGTTACGATACAATTCTTATTTTTGCTATATTTTTTTATGAATTATTGAAATTGTACGAGTTTAATTTATTTTTCAGCGAGCCAGACAAAATGCTCAAAAAATGATTTGGACCACCATGTCCAAAGAAACCAAGCGAAGAAAATGCTTCGAACTCTAAATAAGATATTATCGATTCTCAAAAATAAAACTAAAAGTTTGAATATTAAGTCCTCATACCGTATATTTGCAATATAACTATGAGAGGATGATGTCAAATTACTGTAGTGATTCTATTTAAAATTTTTTATTTTCTCGTATGGTTTTTGCAAATACGCGGTCCTTTGCGAGTCTCGTAAAACGGTTGCCTCGATTGTGAGATGTTCAGAAATTTTTATACACGACAATCTGCCTGAATAAACATCTTATTTAATATTATTTATAAGTTATCGAGGTGTCAAATTCTAAACTACTTTTTTAGAATTCTTGAAACTTTTAAAATAAATGTCTGTTTAAGTGTGCTTGTGAATATTCAAAAATCAAGTTAAATATACATAGGTTGGGTGTGAGCAATAAATTTCACATAATTTTTATTTGACAAAAATTTGAATCCTTGGTCTGAATAATTTTCTGTATTGAAAGATGGAATTTCTGTGGAATTTTCTGTACTGAAAGATGGCTTCAATTCAATATGCCAAATTTTTAACTTGAATAGGGAGCGTCCAGAAATCACGTGATCAATTTTTGGACAATTTTGACCCCATCCTGCCCCTTGGTGACCGGTGGTGATAATTTCGCTACCCCCCCCCCCCCACCGGTCACGTAACAGGAGATGATGCTCAAATTAAATCATGTCCGGAATAACAGTATTTTTTGAATCATTGATCAAATTAGAGCTACATTACACACATGTGTAAATAACTATTTAATACTCCAGTCAGACATAAGAATTTAAGTCGAAGCAAGTTTCTAAATATGCAAAATGAAAATCAAATTTATATAACGTGCGTGTGGTATGTCATGAGAGTTTATATATAAGTCTCATGACATTTATTTCCCTATACAAAAGTTAAAAAAAACTTTGCTCATGTCACGTGACATCTGGCCATCTACCCCCCCCCCTCCCCCCCGCGGTGATCATTGGTGACAAATTTCAGACCCCCTCCTCCCCTATAATCGATCACGTGATTTATGGACGCTCCCATACCGGTATTGAGCTCGTCAATACCGGTATACCGGTGCCCTAGCTTGGAGGGGCGATTACTTAATTTTTTTCTGATACGACACATAGTCGTAGGCCGGAGTGCACGGAACTTACGCCACATAGTCGTATCCGTTGTCAAGGGTCAATACGACACATAGTCGTATTCCGGAGGAGTGCCTTGCAGTTCATAGTGAGCGTTTCATAGTCATGTCTTTCATAGTTCTTGTTTCATAGTACATGCGTTTCATAGTTCTTTTTTACATCGTCATTTGTTAATTTTCATAGTCATTCACTACATAGTCAATTTTTTACATAGTGGAAATGTTACATAGTCGGAATGTTACATAGGATATATTTAAAATAGTCATAATTTTTCATAGCCGCTTAAAATTTCTCAATCTTTAATTGAATATTCCATAAATCAATTTAGAGTCACAGACGTTTCCAAATAATTTTTTATGCAATTTTCAGGTTTTATTAAATGTTTTATCACTTCAGAGGAAGGGAAAAACGCAAGTGCCACTAAATATCTCACATGAAATTCAAAATATCAAACTCAAGTTTGACATAAACGTTTAAACATCTGATATATCTATACTTTGTGATTTTAACTTTTAGTGTGTTATGTAACTATTATAATATCTACATATTTTAGCATGCCTGAGGTGTGGTTGTGCTTGTCAAAATGGCACACTATATTTTAAAATCAGAGGGACACGTGCGGGTAGCTGGAACTACCCGCACGTGTACGGGTAGTTCAGTTTTTATTCAATTTTGGCCATAAATTGGCTCACAGACAAAGTTAGAAGCTTATCCGGCCTTACATTTACAGAAGTATGATTTTATTATTTATCCACTTCTCAAAATTTTCCATTTGCCAGTAACAAACTTTTATAGTGAGCGTGTCTTTTCGGAACTCATAACAGCCTACGGTAGCCACAAATACATTTTACGTCCAGAAAATGCGCAGAAATGATTGTCTCATAATTTGTCTGCTCTAAAATATTTGTACTAATTTGACTTGTAGTTGTGTGTATTTATGCAAATATGAGGATATTTTAATTTGTGCGAGTGAAAAACATCTATCCGGTTGAAGGCACACATTTCATTTGTAGACGATTTTCGTATTCATACGAAAATAGTTTTCATGAAAATCTCAGTGAAATCGAAATTTCAAAAAATTACACTAACAATGGAAACTTTTTTCAGGCTACACTGAGAGTTCTTAGCGAGTTGTGTCAAAAAGCCAAGCCAAAACTTAGAGATTATATTTATCTTCCGTTGACTGGCCTCTTTGAAGAGAAATTTTGGCGGCAAAGTTCAATTTTAACTAAATTTTCTAGATCTTTTTACTCCACTGGAAGAAAACCATGCTGGACTTTTAACTCTAGCCACTAATAGTTTTCTTCGAAAGGTCATTCAGAGAAAACATACAGAAACATACAAAAACATACATCTGTAAGTGTCATGTAATCTTAAATTTTTGGATTGATTTAGTGATATGATTCGATAAGAAATCCCGGTGTAACTTGAAAAACGTTCCATTGTAAGCCAAAAAGTTTGGTTTCGGAAACAACTGATGACATCTACATAGCAAATTATGGCATGCGCTACAATAGTATAGTTCTGTGGGCATGTGTTACTTGCGTCACATTATCTCAAAGTATTTATAAGCCCAAATTAGCAATTAATTGATTAAATCAAATTTATTCTGTAGGTAATTTAGATTGTAACTTAATTCTCATAACGGGTAGCGGGTAACGGGTAGTTGTGCTCCGGGTAGCGGGTCGGGTAACGGGTAGCATTTTCGCTACCCGCGGCAACCCTATATCATAGTAACTGTGATACAGTTTTAACGCATCACGAAACGCCTTGTCCAGGCTCTTTCCATTTGTAAGCAACACGTTTGATCGAGTACCAGAAAATAGAGGTGCTAAACCCTGCTCGCGGGTGGTGGCTGCCTGACCATGTATTTTCCTCTCTTTGATATGAGAACACCACACAACTTCTGCTTTGTCAATGTTCCCGGCCACGTAGGAACACAGAATTATTTACTACTGTCTACACAAGCAGCCCATGTTAATTTTACCTTTTCGAAAAATCGCCAAAACTCCAAGCCGGACAAAAATCGCGTGAGGTTTTAAACTTTTTTGTTTGCTCAGGCCCAAAGGCATCGATTGGCTTATCTCACTATATGCGATTTTTGTCTGTCTTCTCGATAATTGAGTTTTTCAATACATTTCAAATTTCTGATTTTTTCGAATTTTCGAATTTTAAAAATTTTTTTCTACCAATGAATGATCGATTAATGAAATCCGTAAATGGAACCTACCCATTTGAATCTATACTTTGGCTACGAAAGCATTTTCAATGCATTTACAAATTTTCTTTTAACTGCTATATCTTTGCGAAAAAAATTAATTTTCAAATTTTGATTTTTATGGTATGTTTTATTTTATACCATGCATCTACTATAAGATTGTGGAAAATATCTCAAATATGGGTGCAACGACGATCGTGTGGGTTCAGATGGAATGAGCCTCCGGTGCTATTTTACCTCAACCTCAAGTAGCTCATTGCCTTTGAGTACTGTACATTGACCAAGTTTCATGATGAGATACGTTATTGTTTGCAACTTAATCTTTAGTTGCTCTGAGTAAGTATCTCAGACGATATACAACGTAAGAAACTAAAAATGAGAGCGAGCAGAAGCCCAGTCTGCTCCGCTCCGAGTCTTAAACGCATCTAAAAAAAAGATTTATTTTTTTGCTAACTTTTTTTCACTCGGAGTTAAAATAAACAAAAATTTATTTCAACTCCGAGCTAAAAATTTTTACAAAGAAATTCGTCTTGACCGTGTGGACAATCACAAACCGAGACCGGGCTACGGTCACTGCACTATCAGTCGTGTTGCGCGACATAGAGAGAGTGAGCGCTCTGCCGATGGTGGATATTGACGTGGACTGACTCTGCAGAGTTGCATGAGCTGATTTTTGCGAGTGTAATGTTACCAAAAATATGGTCTTACTTACAATGCGATGACGCCAGCGGTCTCGCTGGCAAGATCGGAGCGAGACCGCTGGCGTCATCGCATTGTTAGAACTTCTACTCCGATAAGTTTTATGTTTTTCTTCCCCTATATGCTAGTTTATTAGTATTCGATTTTTTAGTTCCCTCGGGGAAATCCGACCCAAGGGCATCCGATAAAAATCTGATCAGGTTCGGGTTATCTGATAATAACCCAAACGCGTTAAGAAGGGCTAATTTTGCATGCAATTTTAGTATGCAAGATTTTTAAATTAATTTCATATGGAAAATTAAATCTGTTGGGATAAAAAAATATTGGATTGTAAGTACCGTAGAACCTTGATTTATAGCAAATTTATAGCCCTATTCTAATTATAGCCGGTCTCCAAATATAGCCGGGTCTAGAGACTAACATTTCAAAATTTTAGCCGGGTCTCTACTTATGACCTGTGTTATCAGCTCTGTCGCCGTTCATAGCCCATTCAAAAATGCTGTACATTCGGTGAGTCCACGAATGAGGTTATAATTTACAAAACTTTTAATTTCATTTGACCAAGAATGCATCTAATTATGACAAAAAGTGATTTTGTAATATTAAAAATTAGCGCTGAACAAAATTTAGCAGTGTCTCTATTTAAAGCCGGTCTCTAATTGTAGCTAGGTCTGTGAGACCTAGTTTTGGATTTTAGCTCATGCAATAAATAGAGTATTTACGGTAAATAATATTTTATTTCATATATTAAAAATTATCACGGATTGAAAATGCTAATGTTACTTTTAATTACATTTTTATTTAATGTTAATCTTTTTTAATTCAAAGCTAACACTCTAAACTAATACGCTCTATCGACGAATATGTTGTCGACTTGTGAAAAAACTGCGACCAGTTGTTTGTCGACCATTAAGGTTTCGACGACTCGTTTGTCGACCGTCAATCACCAATCGCATTGGGTCATTATGGTGCTGGCCCAGCACTGCTGGGTCATAGGGTGGATATATGGGATACCCTATCTCTGGTCAATGTGACTGGGTCAATTAATTGCACCGTTTTTCAAATTTTATTCGAAACTTGTCCCTTGTTGTCCAGAGCTGAAAATCAGTACTTGTGCTTGTGTCACCGTGGTACGATGCAAGGTTATCCATTATGTGAATTCAGAAATACAAAAGGCGTTAGGACCAGGGCCCGTTGAAGGGTAAGGCGGCCTAGGCAGCTGCCTAAGGCGCCAAATGGGCAAGGGCGCCGTGAGGCGCCCGGCTATACACTGGATAAAAACGGCAAATGCGAAAATTGACAAAGATTTTTTTTATACCAGTACGGAATGAATAGTTAGTA